TGCATGATTTCTATTCAAACAAGTTGTGACGTGATTTTCACGTGACGACTTTGTGACATGAAAATCACGTCGCAAAAAAATTGTCACCCGCTCCCCGACCATGTGATTGTTCACGTTGCAAATTAATTATAGTGACGTGATTTTTCACGTTGTAACGTGAATTTTATGTCGCCAATGAGAGTTTTTTTATAGTGTGTGTATAAAGTAAGAAATAAAAAAAAACTATCATACAATCTTAAAGAGTATTAAAAAGGTGAAGATCTGAAACTAAACTCACATATTTATACTCACAATGAACAAAAGCGTTGTGATTCAATAATAAGATAAACTTACCTACAAAAATTATAGCAAGTAAAACAAAACAAAAACTAGTTAGAGTTTTCATGGTAAAAATCATTAAAAAAATGGTGAATTTATAAAATATGTAGCAAATGCATCGAGTAAATAATAATGTGAGATTATGTACAGTTTTATAGATGTGGAATTCAAAGAAACATAATATTTATGAGAGTGTTTAAATTTTTAAAATGAGAGATTTTATGAAACAGACAATTTAATGAATATTTAAGAAAAAATATTAAAAAATGATAGTCAGTTTAGAAATAGAAGGATAGGTTTCTTTCACTTAATATTTTTTATCCTATTTTTTTAATTGAGAAATTTTGATATAAACATATTATAAATTTATAAGAGTCTTTGATATAACATTTTTTAATCTTAATTTTTCCATATCTTTTTATTATGAAAAGAAAAATAATTTGACTCATAACAAAATCTCAATTTTGATAAATTTTAACTAAAATATATAATGGCTAATTGACAATTTAAAAAAATTAAGTGGAATTTATGTTGTTTTCTTAATAAATTAAATAACTTATTATTGTAATGATTAAATTTAATTTATAACAGTTTTGTTTTAAAATTAATTTTTAATTATAATGATTTTAATCAGTTACATATATAAAAAAATTTATATTAAATATAATAGTGAGCATTTGAGAGGTCATGAGTGTTATTAGAAATTTTGTATTCTATAATTATATTTTTTTATATATATGTTGGATCAAATTAGTAAATAATAGAATAAATTGAAGGATTATTAATAAAATAAAACAAAATATTAAACATAAACTCATAAAGAAATTTATTTTTATTTTTAAATTTCATTTAAATTAATTTATAAGAACTATTTAAAATAAATAATAAATAATTGATAATTTTAAGAAATGAGTTAGAATTTATGTTGTTTTTTAAATAAATTAAATACTTTATTATTGTATTGATTAAATTTAATTTATAACAATTTTGTTTTAAAATTAATTGTTAATTATAATGATTTTAATCAGTTACATATACAAAAATATTACTTTAAATATAGCGATGAGAATTTGAGAGGTGATGAGTGTTACGAGTATTATTAGAAATTTTGTATTCTATAACTATATTCTTTTCTATATGTTGAGTCAAATTAGTAAATAATAGAATAAATTTAACGGTTATTAATAAAATAAATTAAAATATTAAACATAAACTCAAAAAAATATATTTTAATTTTTAAATTTTAATTAAATTAATTTATAAGGATTATTTAAAATAGATAATGAATAATTGACAATTTTAAGAAATGAGTTGGAATATATGTTGTTCATTTAAATAAATTATTAATAAAATAAAATAAAATATCAAACATATAAATAAATTTATTTTTTTGTTTAAATTTCAATTAAATTGATTTTATAAAGTTAATTTAAAATTATTTTAAATAAAGTTAATTTTACATGATAAATTCCCTCAAAATTTATTTTTTCTATAAAAAATATGCTAAATATAATTTTTATGGCATAACTTTCACTAACAGAAAATTTTATATGGGAGAATAAAAAAGTTAACAATTATACATATTTAACAATTTAATTATTTAACTGGTTCTTTTAATATAGAAATATTTTTTAAATTGTTTAAAGATTTTAAAGTTTAATTGCACGTAATTTAAATATGATATAATAGTATTGCTAGAAAAAAGAATAATATAAAAATTGAAAAATATAATATAATGTCACATCAATATTAAGATTAGGGTTGTCTCTTAGATTGCCATAATGACCTATAATTTTATCTATTTTATATAGTATTTATGATAATAATTAAAAAAAAGTTAGGAAATTTTTGTATATAAAATTATTCAAAAGTTAAAACTAAACATAAATAATTAAAAGTGAATATTTTTAAGTATTATAAAGTTATTTTAAAAAATTAGTTAATTAATTTAGTATTTATGATGTTAATTAAGTAAAAATTATAATATACTTGCATAAATAATAATCAAACAAAAAATAAAATAAAAAATAAAAATATATAAGTTGATAAAAGTTACATTTTTTTAAATATTAGAGTATCTAAATTTTTTATCTTTATTTAATAAAAATTAGGGTAAAAATAAGACAAAAAGTATTATGTCAAAGACAGTTATAATTTTCTATTATATTAAAAGTAATGAGTAAATAAGTTATTTAATAAAATATATATCAATACAATAAATGAGTTAATGAACATAAACAAACCATATAAGTTATAGAATAGAAAAAAAAAGACATTTGCATGTAATTTAAATGTGATATAATAGTATTGCTAGAAAAAAAGAGTAATATAAAAACTGAAAAATTTAATATAATGTCACACTAATATTAGAGTTAGAGTTGTGTCTTAGGTTGTCATCATGATTTATAATTCTATCTATTTTATATACTATTTATGATGATAGTTAAAATAAAAGAGTTTGCAAATTTTTGTGTATAAAATTATTCAAAAATCAAAACTAAACATAAATAATTAAAAGTGAATTATTTTTCAGTATTATAAAGTTATTTTTAAAAAATTAATTAATTAATTAATTTAGTATTTATGATGTTAATTAAGTAAAAGTTATAATATACATACGTAAATAATAATCAAACAAAAAATAATCAAAAAAATCAAAAGAAAAATATAAATATATAAGTTAATAAAAGTTATATTTTTTTCAATATTAGAGTATCTAAATTTTTTACTTTTATTTAATAAAAATTAGGATAAAAATAAGACAAAAAGTATTATGTCAAAGACAATTATAATTTTATATTACATCAAAGTAATGAGTAAATAAATTATTTATTAAAATTTATATCAATACAATGGGTTAATGAACATAAACAAATCATATAAATTATAAAATAGAAAAAAACATTTCAAATATTTATGTGATATAATTTACGTATTTATTCTATTAAATAATCAAAAACAAATTACTCATTATAATATTAAGATATTTTTAAGAATTAATTATTTTACAGTGAAAATTGTTATGAGAATGCCACGTAAACATTAAGTTGCTATGAAAATGTCATGTGAATATTAAATTAGAATTTTGTCTGGAATTGTCATTAAACAACCTTAGATTTAAATTAAGTAGATAAAATTTTTATTATATTGAAATTATATAAGAATGTTGAAGTTAGTGTTTAGAGAGAATTAAGTTGAATATTTAATTTGTAGGAGTTAATTACATTTAGATTTTTAATATAAAATTTAAAGGTTTAAATGCACTTTTGCTCTTTTTATTTTCATTTTTTATTTATTTTAAGTTTTAATCCTCTATTTTAAAAGTTAAGTTTTTGATTCCTAAATTTCATCTCACTTAATATTTCATTAGTTTCCTTTTAATTTTGCATATGTGACGATCTTATTAACGACATGACATTGCTACAATAACTCTACGTTAGATTAACATATATTATAAGAAGTTATTCTAATAAAGACGCTATATATACAAAATTATAGGAGATAACAAAATTTCGAGTGAGATAAAATTTAAAGACTAAAAATTTAATTTTTAAAATATAGGACCTAAAATTTAAAAAAAACTTAAAAATAAGTGGACAAAAAATACATTTAAGTCAAATTTAAAAATATATGAAATGTGCTTTAAGTATAATGTTTGATGTTAAATTTGTTAAATGAGCTTTAATCTAATTTCAAAACATACCTAAAAAAATGAGGGTCTCCAAACTCATTTAACCTCCATTTGAAAAATAATTGAAAGAGTGAAAAAGCATTTATTAGAAATAATTGAAAAGTAACTTTAACTAATGAATTTGAAATGCTTCAAACTTATTTTTAAAACTCAATTTGATTAATTGAAATGTTTAAAATAAATAATTCGTTAATCATTAAAATGGTTTAGTTTTTTTTAATGCAACACAGTCCAATTCTATAATATAATTTGATTTTACATGTACATCTCTAATCAAAATTCATTTAAACAATTTTAACATATTTAATTATAATTTTAATCTTCTTATTTTACGTAATTCGTGAAATTGATTTTTTATTTATTTTAAATTTATACGGTTTTAGTTTTCTTTTTATTTTTATATTCAAAATTAATGATATTTTATTTTTTAAATGACAAATTTCTTAAGAAATATGACAAAATTATTGTATATAAATTTATTACAGAACTTTATAGATAAAAATATATTTAAAAAAAAAAAACATCTTATTGATTTTTAATAAATATCGTGAGAACTAGACTAAAAATGTGTGAATTTAAAATATAGAACGAATTTCATAAATCAAATAAAATTGGAGATGAAAATATAATTTAGCTTATAAATTAATGTATTAATTAGACATTACTAATTTGGATTTTTGTATAAGCTAGCTGATTTTTAGTTTGGTAAAGATACTCATGTCTTGATCTGAAGTGGTTCATTGCTTAAAGTAAACTAATTATTCATAGAACTCCAATTTCCAAATCTACTTGAAAAAAAACAGATATGCATACAGTAATGTAGCGATAATAGAAACTTTAAATGTAGTTCAATAATTTGAAAATGATGAAGACTTTCCTATACTTCCTAATACAGCCAAAGCCTAAATCAACAAAGTCAAAGTATCAACTCTGATAAAGTTTTAGAAAAATATTACATGTATCAATCAACATCAATCCATAGTTATCCACATTACATGAACTCATTCACACCTAAGATATCTGAAACTTGAAATTCAAACATGTTGTTGCTAACATAGCTTTCTGTCTCGTCTTCAATGCTGGTTCCATTGATATATGTCGAATTCGAATTCAAGCGTCCGGGACTTGATGAAGGCGTAGATAGAACCGAAGCGAAATTGAAGTTCCGGTTGGTGTTATTGGAATGAAATGTTGAGGTTTCTGATATGTGAGGTTCCATAATTAGATCATTTCCATGATAGTCAGAACTCATGTAATCATAGCTTGGTAATGGATTAGCAAAATCATCTCTAGTAGTACTTGAAGCAATTCCATTGCAATGCAAATCGTGTTGTTGTTGGAAGCCAGATTCAGGTAAAAATGATGATGAATATAGATTCTCATTGGGTTCAACCAAGTTTGATTGAGTGAAAGACATTGAATTATCACAAGGTGGATTCAATAGTTTGTTATAAGCTTCTTGATGAATGGAGTCCTGAATTTGAGTTTGAACCAAGTGTGAGATAATTTGGTGAGTCTCTTGAGAGGGGAAGAGTGATGCAGCAAATTTTAGAATCTCAGGGTTCATCAATGAAGCAGAAGCATAAAGAGATGAATTTATGATAGAAGAAAGGTCCAAAAGATCAAGTCTTGGATTATGTGTCACTGGATCAATTCCCATCCTCAAGAGTCTTTTTCTAACGTGAGTGTTCCAATAATTCTTGATTTCATTGTCTGTTCTTCCTGGTAGCCTAGAAGCAATTGCAGACCATCTACACATTTTAATAACATATAGTTTAGTCACAAAAATCATATCTATCATTAGTATAGTATATAGTACTATATCTTAATATCTTAATCATAATGAATAATAAAATATATTTGACTCATGCTAATATGCTATATAATTTATGTTACACGAGTGTCAGTGCATATGAATTAAATTCTAGTAAGGTTAATTATTACTTGTTGCCGAGCATGCTATGTAGTTGAATTATGGTTTCTTCTTCTTCAAAAGAGAATCGGCCTCGCTTTATATCCGGTCGCAGATAGTTTGTCCAACGAAGACGACAACTCTTTCCACATCTTTGTAACCCTACAGCCAAACAAAAAAATACTTTAGTTCAATAATGTCCATTTTTATGGTTGAGATAATTAAGATGAAGATTCATGACATATTGACATGTTGCATATGTATATGCATACCAGCCTTCTTTGGGAGTAATCTCCAGTTTCCATAGCCATGTTTGTGAATATAATCAATGAGCTTTTGGTCTTCCTCTTGTGTCCATGGTCCTCTCTTGAGACCATTCTTTTCACAACAAGGCACTCTTCCCATGGCAGTGTGTGTTATAGTTCTAAAGCAAATTGTTGAGTTATAATTAAAGTAATAATTGGTCAACGAGAGTTTGCTTGAAGGATATGATATGTTCGAAAAGAGGGAGAAGTTTTTTGAGACGTGAGAAAAGAAAGAAATAAAGTTAGATTTTGTATTGTATGAGATGAGACGCAACTATACTGAATGGAATGAATGAACTTTATTGTTGTTGATGTATAAATAGAAATTAAGAGTAAGAAATAGATGAAGTCAAATGGATTTGGTACCGTCCTTGGTTGTTACTGTTGCTACGTGTCCCTCTTTTTTGTGCATATCATTATCTAGTTAAATTTCTCTACGTTGTTTGTGTGCATTTACGTCGTTTTGTTTCACATCCTTTTGAAATTTTAGTATCATGTTACACTTGAAGTTAACTTTTAAGCTATCATGGATTCAAGTATCATTTTCCGGGTGAGTGTGACCGTAATCTTCTGGAAATATATTAGCTGTATGCAACCATACAAAGCCACGTAATCCCAATAAACATCAATGTATTTCTTCTTGGTAGACCAAAGAGATCTTATTTTTCTTTACCTTTAGTAAAGTAATACAAAAATTACACTAAGAAATGTATAATCGAAGATGGATAGATATGGTTGGTTAACTATATTAAATATGAAACTACTTTTTAATTGTTTGTTTTGTTATAGGTTCCTTTCACTTTAGATGATTATATTTGCTGCATGTCATACATTTAAAATAGCGTTAATAAAAAATTTCATCATATCAACTTGACGGAAGAAAGTGATCGAAACTGCTGCACAAGCGAAAAACAAGGTTTTTTTATACGTTAGATTACGGAGACATATCTATAACGAGAGGGTGAATAGATTTTTAAATAAATATTACTTTTTAAAATAGATATTTAAAAATTTAGTTGAAAAAAATAATATTGAATAGAAGGTTTTGACCTAGATCAATATGTTAGTTTAAACGAATTTAATTATTGTAAAATTCAGATATGTACTACTCATATGAAATTAAGATAATGATAAAATCAATCAACATAATAATATCTCAATTAATAATTTAATATCAAACACAAAGATTTTCTATTTCCAATGAAATTTAAACAAAAATATAGAACATTGCAATTTGTCAAACATTTGATGTGCGTTCGACTTTTTAGAATTTTTCCTTTGAATTGTGTTGATATGAAAATCACTTATAATCCAAGTGATTATAAGCTAATCAACATACCACTTTAAACAAAATAATTATAGACAAATTCTTATGAGTCAATCGATCAGACAATGATATTCGACAAGAACTAACAAAACAATTTGTCGAACACTTGGTGTGCAATCGAAGTTTCAGAATTTTTTTTTGAATTATGTTGATACACAAAATAACTTATAATCAAAAGTGATTATAAGAAAATCAACACCTCATTTCAAACAAAACAGTTTAGGAAAATTCCTACGAGTCGATCGATAACGCAATACTATTTGACAAATTGATTAATGAGAATTAAAGCAAGTAAAAATAATAAGAAAAAGCACACGAACATTTGTCTACAAAGTTCTCCACTTTCGTCCTCACGTGTGGGTATATCTGCGCTCAATTACAATTTGGAATTAGGATACTTTTTACTTTGCAAAAGTATGATTACAAAAGAAGTGTTCAAGAGGAACCCTACAAACCAAAACTGTTTGATATTGATTTAACCCCTTCTCTTCTTTTGATCTTCAACAAGATCAAGACACAATAGCTGTCAATTGATTATCCAGATCTTGCTACTCCTTTGCGTACTTTATCTCCAAAGCTTTCGCGCACCATCAATTGCATCTATTGCAACACAAGACTTCAATTTGATTCACCGTTATCACGCTACTTCCTTTGCGTTCTTCATCTCTAAAGGGTCCTTTGCGTACTTTATCTTCAAAGGCTTTCACCAGGCTGCAATCCTCTCTTGAACGTCTTGCACGAAAACCCCCAAATCAAACATTGATCTTGGAGGACAAACCAACGGTTTTTCTGGATGAAGACTCCTGTAAATCTCAACCCAATATTCTCGACCACACAAGAACCTAATTGGATGTTATCGAACCTTGTCTAGATGAAACTCCAACAAAAGATTATTATGTGTGATTTGTTAGTGTGTATGCATATGTTGGATGTTAAAGGTGAAGAGCAATTGCAAAATATTTTTATGGTATCATCAAGTTGGAATGATGCATGAATGATGTATTTATAGTTATGGAAGTTTTGTGACAAAAATGGGAAATTCGAAATTAAAAGAAAATAGAAATTTTGACCCATGAGACAGTATGAGTCGGCCTATAACTTGCATGTGCCAGCTCATAGTGTTAATTTTAATAGCATATGTCGACCTGTAACGATTTATGAGCTAGCATGAACAAGACAGAGGAAACTTCTTATTTAGGACAATACATGAGTCGGCCTGAAAGGTTGCATCAGCCGGCCTGTGTGAGATAGTGGCACAACCTTAAATATGTGAGTATATGAACCGGCCTGTGAGACTCCATGAGCTGACCTATACATGCATGTGGAGTGCAAAAAAGGATTTTTGATGACTGAGACACTTTTGATTATGTTTCAAATGATTCCTAAGATCTCTAAATGTATAGAGTGTCACACAAACTCAGAGATACCGTCCAATATATAAAAATGCTAAGTTTTACTAGTTTTAACATCATACAAAACATCTAATGGTGAAGTTGCACTCACGTACTCTCTATTTTCTATGATGGAAAAATTTGCGACAATGCATTTCATGATGTTATCGAAGGCTCCCCCTGACTTTGTGGTTCTCAACTTCATCTCACATATGCTTCTCCCCTTTTGACAATATAAAAAAGAAAAAAGATAAATCGTGAGAAGTATCATATTCCAATATCAATACTAATATATCACTCGGAGCCGTTTTTGCAAAGAAGAGCATACAATTACATATCCCCATATATATGTAATGATACAAAAATGATAAATAACGAGCATAAAGCATTACGAAATATATAATACAATGTACGAATAATAATGAATGTGATGCAAAAGCAAACTTATCAAGTTGCTTCTATAACGTCACGATTATGTAACACAATACAATGGAACTCTCGATGCCGCACATGCATGTGCCTAGCAAAGCGACAAGAACATGTCACTACTCAAACCAAAATGAAAATGTTGTCGTAAAATATGACTCAACTACAACAAGAACCGTACATGCAATTAACATGCTTACATTCAACCCATGCACAAATGCAAGAAATAATAATAGAAACACATGCTTGACATACGCGAACAAACTTATACAAATATGAACGAATTAATACACAAATTTATTATAAGCATATATATTGAGAACATACAATGATTATCAATCAAAAAAATTGGAAACGAACATTCATAGTTTTCATCATTTAAGAACATAGCAAGCATTTTTCATCAACTAAAACATGTACTAAAAAAGGTCTTACTTTCAAGGAGAAATTTAGAATAATATTACCTCACTCTTGATGGAATAAAAGTTGCACTCACATGATGTAAAATATTTAAAAAAATTGTTAGAGCAAAAGTATAAAAGTGCAAGCATCATAATAAAGAAAGCAACATTGGAGACATTAATAATCCCCAATTTCTCATGTTTGTTGAAAAACAGTTTGGTTGCAAACATTTTTCTGAAAACATCATCAAGTTGATTTTCACTATCAAAATGCTCGAACACGACATCCTCTTTTTCAACATGATCGCGAAGATAATTTCCCACGCATGCGTTTCTTCCTTGAGTTACTTTATTTGGAGTCCGAGAAAGTAATTCAATCCCCCATAAGACTCACTTCAAACACTCCCTGCATAAACTTAGAGAACTCTTTGACAAGTTGCATGTTAGTAGAATCAAATATGATATAATGTCAAATGTGTTATGCTTGATGTTTAATGAAGCTAAACATGATTGTGTATACATAAGTGTTTATAAAATAAAATACATGAAAATATAGTATGGTGAGATCATTACAAGTATATAAATTGATAACACGCCATGATTATCAACTAAGAATTATTTTGCAAATGAATACTCATAATATATATACACCAAGTATGTCATGCACTTAAAAAAACAAACAAGTAAAAGAGAGAGCGTACTAACAAAGTGAAAATTGAATCGATACTACCTCACCGTACAATACGACGGAGGATGCACTTGCATTTCACAAGGAAATCTCGAAAGAAAGTTAAACCAAATGCAAAGTGTGCTACGAAGTCTTTAGAAAACCACGATCTAAGTCATTTTCACTTTGACAAAGTACCCAAAAGTATAATTTGTGATGAATTCAAGAAGGGCATTGATTTGATGATCATTAATTTTTATTGAAATTTCATCTTTATCCTTTTCATGTTAGTTATCTTTCTCCTTTTCATGTTTCATTGTTTCGGGTTGATCAATTCCTTCTTCGGCATCATTGAGTATGTCTCTTGAAGATACACCTACATTATGAAATGAAATACCTTTTCCGAGTATTCTCGGATACAATATCAAAAGTAATTTATGCATATTTTCCCAACAAAACAAAACTTATTCTTGCTTTCTAGATCACATAATCCATCTTCTTGCCACATATACAATAGGATTGGAATATGTTCATATGCTTTGAGCCACTATAAATGAGAATCTATATTCTCTTTATAGAGTCAAGACAATGTTCCAACAAAAACAACAAGACAAGTTAGGTACCAAATCTTCATTGGATCCTTGGGGGTTAGTGAAAAATTGGTTACATTTGGGCAACCATTGAAAAAACACCTTTAGGAACCAAAAACTCCTAAATTTGAATGTGGCCTTTCTTGCAACCATATTGATAATTTAAATCTTCACCATCACTAGAATCACTATCAATGTGCTCACCTTTTGAGAACAAAAAAAATCTTAAGAGCTTGAAACTTCGTTCCTTTCTCCTTATTCATGACTTTCTCCTTTCTCTTCTTCTCCTCAAGTTTTT